TTCTGGGTGCAGGGGCACACTTGAGCACCTAATCGGCAAAGCTGGGTCACACCCAGAGACAAACCTCTTGGAGGCCCAGGGTCTAGCGCCCCCTGAAATCTAACCTTGACACTGCAGAGCCCACACACCGTCATGGCGCAGGAAGATGCTGACACAAAGGACCACTGTGTTGGAAGCAAGATTCAGAGTGTGGCACGGCCACCAAGCCCTTAGTGCTCCACGTTCCACCCGGCACCGAGAGTGCTTGCTTCTCCCTCCCCAGCCTCCCTCAAGTCCACCAGCCTCCTCAGCCCCTCTGCACCCCCACACCACGGCCTGCTCTCTATCACCTGGACGGCCGTAACAACCCCTTCTCCACCCATGCAGATCCTGGTGCCTGCTGGCCCAGCTCGCTCAGCAAGCCCCCCACCTCTGACTCCATGTCCTCAGAAGGCGTTCACACTGCTTATAAGGCTCCAAGCTGGGAATCAGACCTGTGGGAAACTGGCAGGGCCCCTGACCTCTGAGCTCGGTTGCTCCAAGGGCTGGTGTGAGAAGTAACCAGTTACTGTACAGCAGGTACTGGGCACACAGTGACAGGCTGCCATGATAACAGCCTGGCCAACAGGCCTCAGCTTGTGTCCGCACCACTCACAGTGTTGCCCCCCCCTAGTGCTCGCTCTGGTCATAAAAGTGACTTTGGGTTGCCCCAGCACGCTCTGCTCTCTGGTGCCACCACACACGTGCTGGGCCTCTGCTGGACCCCATCCTCCCTCTGTGCCCAGCTAATTCTAGCACTTATGCTTCAGTTCTCCCATAGCTGTTACTTTTTCTGAGATGCCTTCCCTGAACACCACATTCCTCATCCCAAAACTGGAATGGTGTGTCCCTATTTCCTTCCCACACAGTACGGAGAGCACCTATGGTAGTCCTTATGACCTGCTCTGTAACTGCCAATTTTCCTAACTGCCAACCCACCAAATGACAGTCTTTCCGGGCATCAGGAATATCTCTGTGCATCCTGCCTGAGTCCCAAGGCGCCTGCTCTGATGAACATGCATTTGTCAAAGGAAGGAGCAAAGAACTGAATGGAGTGGAGGTAAGCGCAGGTGGCCAGTTAACTCCTCCATTGTAGGCATGATTCTGAGTTCCAGGCTGGAACAGATCTGTGTTCAAAGAAAATCAAAGAAAAAATAGCCTAAGAAAACTGCCTTGGGCCACGACCACCTCATCCAACCAGCCAAGGCCCTCGAGGCAGGGGGAGCTCACCATCCTCATCTCCAGGGTGACCCCACATGGCTGGTCTGGTCACAGACAGAGAAGGCGCCTCTGCCTCTAACATCTAAACATGGGCAACACCATTCACAGGACCATCCATGGGCTTGCAGAGAAGACAAGAATGGACCACCATCCCACAGTGGCCCAAAACAAACTCCCCTGAGACGGGGGGAAGCAGCCAAACAGAGGTCCCGCTTGGACAGCCTGGTGGCCCTGCTGCAGCATGCCGGCTTTCTGCTCGGCCTCAGCCTTGGCAGCAGCGCCTCACACAGCTCTCGGGGCGAAGCCGGTGGCTCGGCCCCTGCCTCTCACCCTGTCCACTAATTTAAAATCAAAAGATCCAGGTTCAAGCAAAGCAGTGCTAACATTTTCAGTTTTCAGTGTGTTTCTTGGCCTCTCTGAGCCTCATGTCGGGGTGACAGTTCGTGACCTGCAGGGCACCAATTATTAGGGGGTTATTGTTGGTGCCAGATCTGGTCCTGCAGCAAGAAGAGGTGGATGGGGAAGGACGTCAGGCCACGAGGGATGAGTGACCGTACTGGATTGTGGCCAGAAAAGGTATTTTCCTAATGCTGTTGCCTCCTGCCCTACACACAACATGCAGGTCTTCCGGAGGTTGTGCACTCAGCCTTGGCTGCTGCTCCTGAGTTTCCACAGAGACAAGGTTCTGGCGCATCCCCACAGTGGGAAATGGAGGCATCTAACGGCTTCTAGGTCTGGCACACGGGAGTGCTCAGAGGCACCTACAACTGGATTATCTGTGTTATACCCAGGAAGCCTGGTAAGTCAGGATAAGCATTTTAATGCCCCAAACTGATCAGTGCTCATCATCTCACACACATCAGGGGCTGCTGCCAGCACAGAAGGTCCTCTTTGCCCCAGTACATAGCTCCCAGACCCTCCCCTGAGCTTCCCTGCACCAGAAACAGAAACAGAATATATGTGAAGCCTGCCACCTAGAGTCGAAGGGTCCATGGATTAGCTCCTGCGTCTACCTGCCTTTAGTTCAAGCCGAACCTATCCTTGAAGTAGAAAGTTAAATTTCCCTCTTTCCCCACTAGGTTTAGACAAGGAAAATTTAGGAAATCGACTTAAATTGCTCCTCAGTTCAGTTTGTGTTCCTTCAAATTAAAAGCTGAATCTGGAATCAGAATAACTGCATCCAGCAACGTGCAGCACATGTTAAAGGAGACCCGGGACGCACACCCCACGGTGATGCAGTGATTCCAGGGGTGCTGAGCATTCACTTCCCACATACGCAGGCAAAACATCACTCCCATATCCAATTTCTCTCTGCTCACATTGAGGATCAATTTTTCTCTCATGGAGAAATTAATTCACTTTTCCTAGTGTCCACCGCACTGCCTTCTGGAGGAAAATAACAGCCTCTAAAATGAAACCAGCATTAGGAGGAGCAGCTCTAAACCTGCTCCAGGACCCTGGAGGCAGAAACACGCGCACACCTCAGCCAAGGAAGAACACGCCGCCAGGAAGGTCAGTGCGGCGGGCTGCCCTTTAGCAACAAAAATGTGTGCGTTTGGCAAATGCCACCGTGGAAAACACAAACCAGGGATAAAAGACACACCGAGAGCTATTTCCCAAACTGGGAAATTTAAGAACACACGAACAGAGTTTACGCAGCGGCAGCAGGATCCTCATGAGAGCAATCTCATTAAGACACGGTAACCAAAACAGCGCTTTGTAGGTGTTCAGGTTAAGGTTAAAAAAATAGCTGCAGCAGCGGGGTTAAGGTAAAAATGTTTTATCTTGCTAAAGAGTATCCTTCGCTCTCAGCGTATTACAACACAATTACACGTGTATTCAATTTAAAGTGAAAAACAAGTTTACAAATCACTTCTGGATACTTGAAAATAAACACTAGGTTGAATTTCTTTTTGGCAGCGCCAGCCTAAGCTCTGTAGCTTTGCAACATTTCAGAAACTTCAGGCACATTACAGTTGTCAGAGAAAGGCCCGGCGCTTCAGAATTCCCGGGGTGGCTGTGAAGAAAGAACATTCCCGGCAACAAATATGAAACAACTCAGGACCTGCGGGGTACAGCCCTAAGTACTCTTCCTGTTAACATATTTACATTTCTTTTTGGTTTAAGGAAAAAAATGCACTTTACAGGGAAACTGTTTCAGCTGTTGATGGATGACTCTACAACCACATTTCCCTTTCTCACTGTATGTCTGGGGCCTGTATGTGAGGACAGAGTCAGGCAGCTCCATTCTCCCTGGTCCCCAAGGACCTCACCTGTGACACTCCCTCTACAAGCACAGGAAGACTGTTCTTCTTATTCAGGGGCTCTTTTTGTGGTGGAATTTGGAAAAACTGGGTTCCAACATCTTTTTAGGGAGACGCCAAGTATACTTTTCCATTCTTGTGGCTCTGCGTGCTTAAACAATCTGAGTGGCACAGAGGAATGGACCACAGAGTTGCTCACAGTATCCCAGGATGCCAGCTGCCCAAGCTGCAAACTGCAGACGCTCTTCTGGCCTCCGTCTGCATGTGGAATTTTACCCACCAGAAAGCATCATCAGAGCCCAAATCAGATACTTTAAACAGCTCAATGATGCTTTCCCTTTGGCTTCAAAAGCAATCATGACCAAACATTTTCAACCATGAAGCACAGTTGATTGGAATAATGAAAAACACCTTTTCAAAAAACATTTAATGAGGTAGCTGAGATCAAATATCAAAGCCACAGCATGTACACAGGTGCTTAGTGAGCGCTCAGCATTTTTACAGGTATTTTTAATGCAAACTGCTACAATGCCTAATAAATGCTCTTTCTTCCAAATTCCTGAGGGAGCATGCAAACTTGGCCAGAGGCCCCTGCAGAATGAGAGCAGCGGGAAGCTGGAGCAGGGAAGCTGGACAGGAGGAAGAGGAGGGCGTCTGGGCATACAGCTTTGGCTGAAGAGGTAGTGCTCCCCGTGGAACTAAAACGCAGTGGGTGCCACAGAGAACAGACACCAAGTGAGGACAGATGGGCTGAAAAGGTGGCCTTGACTCTAGGCAGCAAGGAACCGCAGCCTGGGGCACTCTCATTAACACTGAGGCGACGTCAGAGCACCCATCCTTCCACGGCCCCTGGAACCACCCTCAGGAGGGAGTCTGGCCTCCTGCTGCCCCTCTTGTGGCCACCCTGGGTTCTGGGAAGGCCGCCGCTTGCAGCTGCTCGGCCTCCCCTTGAGTTCTCCTCGCTGTCTGCTCACACGCACAGGCTGCTTCTGGCTGAGCAGCTTTTTGGATGTCAACTTCAAATGCCTTCCACGTGGAGTCTTGCACAAAGGGAAAGGTGGCAATACCAACCCTGGCAGTGTGGATTTTGTGACTGTTTCAGCAACGTGAACATTCAGAGTTTACACACACACACACACAGATGCGCACACACGCGTGCACACGCGGAGGTGCCAGGCAGCAGTGCAGCAAGCTCAGGTGGGGCAGGAGTGGGCAGGTCACAGGGCCTGGGGCAGGGCTGGGGAGGGCTGGGGAAGGAACCCGGCTCCACCTTCGCCACCCTCCCTTTCCTGCCCTGGAAGCGGCAGCCAGCACAGCAGGGTACCAGCAGGAACACAGGGAGGACAAGCGGCGGGAAGGGGAAAGGCAGGCCGCAAACGGCTCTGCATTAGGTCTCCGTCATGTAGTTGCTGAAGGCCAGAGGAGGCACGGCCTGAAAGCTGCTCCACCGCCTCGCGCCAGGCTGGGACTCCACGCGCCCTTGCTCTTTATATTTACCCAGGATGTTTCTGGCTTCTTCTGCATCCCGCAAAGGGCTCTCTCCATATTCTTCCTTCAGCCACTGCCGGTACTGGAAAAGTAGGAAACAAAACCAAAATGTCACACACAACCCCCTGAATCCCCATAGGCATTTCACCTCTTACTTAATGGTACCAACTTGGCCACATACAAACAGGGAAATAAGTGGGCATTGGGCAATCATAGTTCTGTGGTTGGCCAGCCAGGGTCAAGCAAGAGAAATAACTGCTTCTTCAAGGTTTTGGCCTGAGGACATGAAAGCAAGCCAAACCAAGAAAGGCACTTGACCCAAAGGGAGAGAAAGAGAAACTAACACAGGGCCTAAAGAAAAGGATAAGGGGTGACATCCTGTGGCTGCGGCTGGTGAACTACAGCCCAGTGACAACTGCAGTGGGGATCCAGGTGGGCCATCGTTGGACCAGACAACCTCTGTGGGTCTTTCCAACTCTAGTTGCGATGATTCCAGGTGTGTACAGAAAGACTGAGGCATCTTCTCCGGGGCTGCTGCCTATGTTACCAAAGTCCCCTGGTGTGTTACCTGGTGCACTTCATGCTTCTCAAAGTCCTGGAGCTGTCTCTGGAAGCCCAGGTTGGGGTTGGCACAGGACCTCCCTGCACGCACCGTGTGCAGGGCGTCTTCCCAGCCAAAGTCGGTGACGGTCATGATGTAGGCAATCACCAGAGTCACGCTCCTGGAGACGCCGGCCAGGCTGCGGGGCCAGGAGAACGACACATGGGCAAGACACGTTTAGGTTCACAAGTCTACCTCCCGATCTGTCTGGAGCAGGGGATTCTGTGGACCCCATTTTCCCAAGTCTTCCCGCCTTGGCTTATGAGCAAACAGCAAGCCAGCACGTTACTAGGAAATTACTCAGAAACATACGCACTGCCCTCCGCTTTACGACGCTTGAATCTCAGGCATCCTTTATCTGTGTTAGCCTCATTTTTTATTGATTTTTCACTGGCTATGGCTCTGGGCACTTCAGTTTCCTGATTCTGTATTGTTCCTGAGCCTTTCTTCAGATATTCTCTATTTCCCCAAACAGATAAAATTACGAAAGCACAGCAAGGGAACTGAGGGTCTGAGATCTACACAGTAAATCCATCCATAAGCTAAGCAGTGGAGAAGCCTTCATGTTTAAAAGTCTGGTTTTCTTAGGTACATGAGGGCTAAATCCGAAACTTAAAAAAACATTAAATACAGAGGCCTCTACCACGTATTTCGTGTTCTTCTTGCCCTGACTAAGCAGAGGGCCAGCGTGGCACACTCGGCCTGCTGTGAGCTGCGGGCCAAGTGGCCGCTCTGCAGGCAGCAGCGGTTGCCTATCTCGAACAGGCTGAGTAAGGGGACCAATTTTAAATGCGTATGCAAATTAAGGCGGTCACAGAAAGGCTGTGCTGTGTCAGACTTAGAGTGGTCTAGCAACGGTTTAAGACGGGGAAGTTTAGCCAATTTCTCATTTTTAGACAAGCCTGTCTTCAGATTTACACAACTGTATGAAATACGAATTCCTAGAATATCAGGCCCACACATATTCAAATATAAATAATAATAATAATAATAAAACACTCTCAAGTAGTGGCTCTTCCCTGCGGCTTTATATCAGCAATACTGAGAGAGCTTTTAAGAAACACATCCTCTTGGGCTGCAGCCCTGGAGATTCCGGCTCACCCGGAGCCACAGGAGCCCAGGCAGGGGTCTCAGAACTCCCGTTACAAGGCTTCACCTACACCCCCAAGCACTTTAAAGCAAATGAAAATGAATGTCACTTCAAAGCCTGCAATTTGTATTTATCACATGGCCTATCCTTTTTCAAAGTAAAATGAAAAATCACACCATTTCAAGAACTGTATAAAACTACAGAACACTATTTTTAAAGCAAAGCATCCTTGGCCCCCATTACAGGCTACTGGCCCTTAGAACAAATGACAGTTTTCATGAAAGGCTCTTCTGGATGCCATGCAATGGGTCCCCTCTGCCATGGCAGGACTGCCACCAGCCTTAGCAGCAACACTCCCCAGAAGACATCGCTTTGCATTTCTGGAGAGCCTTCACTACAACAGCAACTTCTCTGGGGGAACTCAAAAGATTAAGCTTTAAGTTAACTAAGATCAAGCCTCATCTGAGAGAGAGCCTGCACCTTAACAGACAGCAGAGCCCTGGCTCCAGAACACTGGCTGCTGGTTCCCTGGACACACTAGTTATCATATCATGAACACATGCTGCAATGAAAATGAGAGCCCACACTCACAGAGAGCTCACTATGTGCCAGGTGCGGAGCTGAGAGCCTTACGTGTGCTGTCCTTGGGTTACGTGTGTTATAACAGTGTGTGGGTACATATGCATACATATATCTACATGCCTAGCGTACAGCTGAATGCAGAACATATGATATACATATAATAGCTGTACATAAACTGTTTAAGAGACTATTCAGATCTTTTCAAAGCAAAGCAGTCAGCCAAACACACATAAAAGCCTCAATCTGTAAACAGAGAAGAAATGGTTATTTTGTTGTTAATAGTAATGCAGTGCAAACACCCATATGTGCAATCAAAATTCTCCAGAAAGAAACAATGTTCTGAAAGGCCACTGGAGTTTCAGGGGTGAGCCTACAGCCCCACGGCCTCAGAAGAGGCTGCTCTGGCAGAGCGGTAGATGGAGGCAGGAAAGGAACTTCTGTCCTCTGTAACCTCGACAGTCCCTACAGAAGTCCTAACTGCAAAAATGAAAATCCTAAGTGAAAATGAAAAAAAGCATTGTAGGCTTCTCCTTCAACAAGAGCAAATGATGACTAACAGACAGCAAGGGTCAGGGAGGATGTGTGCTCGGGGGTGGGGGGGAATGTAGAGAAAACTATTAGATGAAATAATTAATCACACACAGAAAAACACACGATGAGAAGTCAAGCTGAGCAGAACACACTAAGCTATTATTATGCAAGAGACGTACATACCAGTGTACAAGACAGCCCTCGCCCCTGAGCCGGCACTCATGAATGAATTTAATGCTCTCTTTGAAATGTCTTGTCCTGGGGGAGAAAAAAAGAGAGAAGTGACATCTCTCTACTTTACTCAACATATGATGAAAAGAAAAATCCACCTGAGGTTTCTTGAAAAGGTCTCAGAGTCCCACAGCTTCAAAACCCTGGTCACACTGTCTGGGGCCAGAGCTGCCTCAAGCTGTAGAATCCATCACACACAACACTGAGGCCCGGGGAAGGCTGCCCATCTTCTGGGATTTTCAGAATTTCTCTGCAAGGAATCCCTGAAACACACAGCTGCCACTGACTTGGGGGAGAGTGATCTGCCCATCCCTGTGGTCAGTCTGGGCCCCTTGACACTAGCAGCATGCCAGTGCCCCACACAGATGACCCACACACCAGCTGCGAGCAGTCACAGCCATCCAGGTGAGGAAGGTGCCCTCACCATGTGGCTCCCCAAGTCCTAAAAGCCAGTGTCCTTCTGATAATCTGAAAACCCAGTAATCCACTCCCATCTCGGTCTCCTTTGACTTCCGTAGGTCCAGTCTGCATGTCACTGAGGAGCTGTGGGGAAACGGAAATGGCAGCTCTGACCCCTGCTTGGCCACCAACTGGCTGTGTGCCCTTGGGAAAGGCACTTATCTTCCCCTAACCTCACTTACAAAGGGAATAATATCTTACAGGGTGGGGTGAGGTAATGCACGCCGGGCTGCTCTACAAACCCCAAAGTCCTCTAAGGCGACAGGACCATGGCCCGCCCTCCTTCTGGCTGCCCCTCCTCCCAGAACCTGCCCATGTAGCACGTGGACATCGGCATCCATCGGGTTCTAGACTGGCTGGCGGGTTAAGTGCAAGTACTCTGAGAGGACCCACAGAGTACATGTGTGCTTTTCTATGTCTTCTACCTTTGAATGGTTTATAAAGCAGCAAACTATCTAAGTTACCCACGGACTAAATTCACTTCCCTTAAATACTGATTGAGTATTGACAATCTACTGGGGACTCTGGTAAGCTGCAACAGATTCAGGGATGAATAAGATGTAGGCCCCACTGCACAAACTAGGTCTACTTTCTCATGAGGGCAGACAGGGCAAATGAGTTTAATAAGAATGGGAAATGCAGGTGTGGGAAAGCAAACTCAGCCAGGTATTGACTGCAGAAGAAACTCAGCCGCCGAGGGGTAAGTGCCCAGCTGCATGAGGGCAGGCGGGCGACAAGGAAAGTGTCAGTGCACACGCACGCACACCACTGTAGCCAAACACAAGGCATGATGTCAGCACGCGTGCAGAGACCTAAACCCAAGGACTCCAGACTCTCAGCTGAAATCTCTACCTACCAGAACACTGCGAGTGGAGCCACCGCTAATTCTCCTAGGGACAGATGCTCCCCATGCAGACTTATAAAGTGACTCGGGGCATTCAACTCTACTCCCAAACACTGGCTTGGCATAAGCAAGTAAGACAAGACTCCTGCTGTGACCTGAAATCTGAGTGTTAGTCCTGAAAGAGTCCTCATGGCAGGGCTGTGAAGCAGAAAGCCCTGGGGGGGGCCGGGCAGTGAGCAGACTGCACTGGGATGGAGGGGTGTGGGCACTTGGGGGATGTGACCGGGAGAAGCCCAGCCCCAGGGCAAGGCGCTGCAGGCAGGAGGGAAGGCTCTGTGCCATCAGAGCTCCCCGCTCGAGAGAAACCCACAATCTGGAGTTCGCAGCGAAGCTTCTGATTCCGGAACCATGGCAGACCTCCAGTTCTGACTGTGTGTGGGGCAGCAAAGTGCCCAGACCCTCAGGATATGCCATCTTCCCTCCAGCTCCAGCCCCAAAGAACACAGGGGAGGCAGTGGGCTGGGGGCATCTAGAAATGTCTTCACTTCCTGATGAAAAGAAAGCTATCAGGCCCGGCCCCGAGGCTGAGTGGTTACAGTTCCGGGCACTCTGCGTCAGCGGCCCAGGTTCGTGAGTTCGGATCCTGGGCACAGGCCTACTCTACTCACTAGCCACGCAGTGCAGGAGTCGCACATGCAACACAGAGGAAGACGGGCACAGGTCTTAGTTCAGGGCTCATCTTTCTCGGCAAAAAAGAAAAGAAAAGAAGAGAAAGCTGTCTATCTCCGCCCCAGTCTTTGTGCCAGGGACTTGCAGTGAGCGCCACACCAAGCTGCGTCAGCTGCCCACCAGCAAGGCAACGGCCCAGGGTGAAAGAACGGCAGCGAGGGGCACTGTGGGCTGCCCAGGCCCGGCAGCCCCGCCTCCAGGCTTCATGGTCACAGAGTGAAGTAAATAAATGTCTTTATAACTTAAAACAGTGTTAACCAGATATCCTGTTACTTATAGCCAAACACAACCTACCTGACATCAGCAACTAATTCAACAGTTTGAAAGACAGTGAGCCAACTGGCCTGGCCTAGGAGCGGTTACAGGCTGCCATCTACGGTCTGCTTTATGGTTTATGCAGTGTGGGGTGTCCTCCTCCGCAGGCCATTGCAGATGGCAGACAGGCCAGAGCGGGTCGGTAAGTTCGCTGTAGGCTCCAGGCCAGGCCAGGCCCCCCAAAACCCAGGGCTCACCCCTGACTGTAGGCCAGCAGCTGAGGGGTGCAGCTGGACGGCACACGCCTTTGTCCACCAGGCCTCCCACACTGGGGCCCTGTCCGCACCTGCAGCCCATGCTCTTGCCTGTCCTTTGTGGGTCTCCTTCTGGTCGGCGAGAGCTGCATCTGAGACAAGACAGGCAGGGAAGAAGATAGCAACCAGAAAAGGAAAAGCGAATCTAGAAACGAATGACAACCGCCTGAGTCAGTGAGCAAACCACAGATGGCTTCTGAGTACACTGCGGCGGCACCAGTGACGTGAGGGCCAGCAGTCCCCTCCAGGCGGACAGGGCTTGGTGTCTTGGGTACGTGGTCAGTGCTGTGGAGCTCACCAAGATCTCCACATGTGAATGACAAGTGAATCCCTTTACTGAAACCTGAGAGTGGGAACAACTCTGTATATCTGGCTTTTATTCCTGCATGTCCTAAACCACACGTACGATGAAACCCAAGTCTTATATTGTGGAGTCAGCCTTGCCACATCTCTAAACAAGAGAGTGGGCGTGGGGGTGTGGTCAGGAGGGCAACACCCAGACCCGCGAGCCCAGAGCGAGTGTGAAGGAGGTGAGGAGCCAGGGAAGTCCTGAGGAGGCGCCCCTCCCCACCCCAACCGGCCAGCTTTCCCTCGCTCAGTTGTCTACACCAAGTGTTAAACCCAGGATAAACCCACGGACAGCCCCTGTCCACCACTGGGTTGGGGTGGCAGCATCCGTGAGGGTGCTGCTGATGGCCCCGACCTCGGAGTGTAACGACGCCCACGAAGGGGTGGCGCAGAGCCCCACCACGAAGCTTGACTCATGAACGCAACTGGCGCAAGGCCAGGCCAGGCAGACGTTCCTAGAAGAGCCTTTTCCAAGAACGGCAGGAGGCAGGCTCGGCACTGCTGCCTGGGTGCGCTGCAGGCAGTGGGGGTTATTTCCAGGGAAGCTAATGACATAAGCCCAAGCCCTGGTCACTGAACTCCCTCCTCCACAGTGGGAAATACCCGCGGCTCCAGTCCTCGCATTGCTCAACTCTCCAACGGGAAGCAGAAGCAAATCTGGAGCCCCATCCACCACAAGCTGTTTCAATGAACACAGCAGCTTCCCTATTCCTCTTCGTTTTGTTTCTCTTCACTTTGTACCTTTACTTCCATATCAAGACGTGGAGTAAGGTCTGTTCGAGGAAAGCCTGCTGGGCTCATCCACAGGGAAGCACGACCTACAGGAGTGTCACAAACTCACCCCATAGTGCCTGCTGCTGCCGACATCCAGAGAGAACACCCCGAGGGGTAGAGAAGGGCGCTTCCGATGAGAGGTGTCCTCCACAAACAGCCAGCGCTGCCATCGTCCCCTTCCTCCTCCTCACTCTGTGCTGGCTCTCCTCACTGATCAGTGCACCCAACCCCTCACCCCTCATCCAGAGGCTAAGAGCCAGGACCAGCCAGGTTTTCCTGACCTTCAGAGGGTTCACAAAAACCATGGTGGACAGATGGAGCAAAACCACATCACACAATGCTCATTTGTTGAGGCTGAACAATTCCTCCTTACTCCAAGCCTGCAAGATTTGGAGGTTGTGATCCCCACTGTGGGATCTGAGGCAGTCCTGTCCTGCTGAGAACTCTGCTTGTCTGAACAGGAGCCCTGGGGTCTGGCCAAGTACCTGGAAGGGCAGCTGGGCTTACCCCAAAGCCAGCAGGACCAGACCAGGTTGTACTGACAGCAAAAGCCACGAGATCCAGGATGCTTCTCCTTCCCCCAACAGAGTATGAATATGTGTGTATATGTGTGCATGTCTGTGTATATATATGAAAGCAAAACAGAAAAACACAGGAAAGGCAAGTACCCTTAGAATTTTTTTCCTCAGAAAGCAATGCTTAAAAAAAAGGCAAATGAGTGAAGTCTTCTGTCTGAGCCCAGTCCCTGGGAGGTGGACATGGACCAGAGAGTTGGTCCTCCTGGGGCAAACTCGGTGCAGGCCCCCAGGCCCTGAGCGGGCCCCTCTGGCCACACTGCCTGCGGGACTCTCGCATCCCCTGAAGAGAGCCGCGGAGAGTCTTCATCCGCATGGCACATGCGCGCAGCATTCAACACAGACCTGACAGGTATGCGAGCAATTCCCGAACTGGTATATTTTTTGCCCTGACAACATTTTTAAAAAATTGGGGGAATATATTTACTGTACTTTTCATTTTGCCAGATGAGGTCATTTTAAAAATGAACTAAGGAAAAAAACCTCTCTACCATCTACCACAATATCATTTCACAAAGAATAGTTCAACACTAAAAAAACAAGGAGGACAGAGTCTAAGACTGAAAAATAGTTCTTTAAGTTGAATAAGCAAAGTCTTATGAAAATAATATACGTTTTCTGCATATTTCTCACTTCTGTGGGCTGCAGAGTCCTCAGGAGTCATGCGTGAGCATGTGTGTATGTGTACACACATGAGTGTGCATCTCTGTCTGGAAGCAGGATTGTAGCACTCCAAGGGCCCATTTACCTCTGATCTTTCAAAACTGCTTTTTAATAATGAAAATAAAGAAAAATGTAGAAGTACAGAAGACACCAACTAAACTAAAGAAAACATACCCAAAAAGATAGGAAGGTAGATTAAAGGCAAGGAAGTTTTACTGATATTTTAATATCAGTATGAAACACTGTATTTTACACTCTCTGTATTGCTAATGCCTCTTCTGCCCACAAAAACCTCAAGAAATTTAGAGCCCGCTCGATTCTCAAACCACTGAAGGCCACACAGGCCGTCCTGTGCCGATGCGATGTCACCAACCGCACAGCACAGACCAGACTCCCCAGGACTCGGCAGAAGGAGAAGATGAAGAGAGACAATTATCCCCCTAACGATGTCTAAATACAAAACACCAATTTAATAAATATTAAACTGCCTGAATAAAATAAGCTACTATGCATCCAACCATTCACTCTCGGGATACATTAATATTCCTTATAGAGTGCAGACACAAAGTATAATCTTACTTGTGGAAATGCTTAGTGTTCATAAAAAACAGCTTTACTTATCTCACCTAATACTATAAAAATGATAGGTATTTTACAGATGAGAGAAATGACTTGCCTAAGAAAGCACAGAGAGAAAGGAAAACCAAGTATTTCCAAAAGCCCTCATTCACTAACCCGCCCCACATCGGGATGTGGGGAACACTCAGTGCGTGTCACAAACCCTAGGATGCCTCTCATTGTGAGAAATCATGCAAAACGTACCAGCCCGGGTCTGTGGGGTTATTATGACTCTGAGAACTTGAACTTTCACATTTCCTGACTTTGCAAGGCAAGGTGGTTGGGGGAACTGAGCTAAAATTTTAATGTGCTAATGTTATCTCACCCAGGTTTCTGCATTTTAAATTCCTGGAAGGTCAGAAGGAGAGTTTGTGAGCATTAAGGCCAAGACAGAACACTGGCCTTTTTGGGCAACTGAATGCCAAGTGAAAGCAGGTAGTCTCAAAAGGTCACAAACCTCTCACCAAGCACAATTAGCACGAAGAATTCCTGTCGGCATAGGGATTTGTGCGGAAAGATTTAGGGTATAAAACCTTAAATTATATCCAGAGTTGGAAATAATTTTAAAAATCTGTAACCAGTTTAAAACAATAAGTGATACAGTTTACTAGAATTCGTCATTATAAACAGGAACTCTCAGGCATCAGGAATTAAAAGTGGCCACACTAAAGAACTACTAGGTTTTAATTGTCGGGTTACCTAGAGCACATTTTCCAAGTGACGGACGCGATTTCTCTTGCTTTGTTAACCAGAGCACTAAGAATGTTTGTCTCTCGACCATCTACATTGGTTGACGATACAGAAAGTGAAGGTTTGGTGCCAGCCTTCACACGCTCCTCATGTTGGTGAGTACTAACTACGGGCTACCTGGAGTGAGGTAGGTCATGTAAACAGAGTCAAGGGTTCTGCCTGCCAACGTCCACAGTCTGATTCTATCATGAAAGCACGCTCACCTCAAAAGGCACGTTATGCTTTCCAGTGCAACATCCGTAACAGGTGAAGAGAAACTCAAGCTATTTCGTAGGCCCTCTCTCACCATAAATAGTACACCTAGATCCCCAACTTAACTCCACATCTCCACATAATGTCAGCAGAGCAAGAAATACTGATAGAATAATGGACATTTATGGGCCCAAACCCTCACTTATGCATAAACTTTGCTATGACTGATGGATTAAAAATAAGTTTCCCCAAAGAATCACACCAGGGCCTAAGAACATGACTTTTCTGCCTTTTGATGAGTTATGGTCTTGACTTCCTTTCCCAACTGAAAGAGAGGTCGCACTGTCGTAGATCTTCACTCAAAATAGCAGCAAGTTTCTTTCTGTCTTTCTCTGCAAGTTCTTTCTGTCATTTGCCCCAAACATGGATACAGTATTAACCTACCTGTTGAAACACGGTACCCACCCCCTACTTTCATCCAGATACAAGGAAAGTGTTAAAAGCCAAACCACACATCTCTGTACATACTTGGGACAGGAGAGAACTAACTCAAATCTAAGGGGCTAGTCCTCTGGCCCCAAGGTGACTGTGTTTGGGCTGGTTTTGCCAGAAGATTCGAACTGACCCATGAGACAGGAACTCAGAGCAGCAGCTGCTGCATTCTCTTGTCATGTGAGCACATCTTCCAAGTAACTGAAGTGGGCCTCCCGAGCACCAAAACTTATTTCCATTATCTTTTCTCTAACTCAAGATATGTTAATATACTTTGAGTAGAGTAAAAATATTCTTTTACTTTCAAAAGTCCTTGAGTTCACAGAGAACACTTCCACATACATGAACTCATCTCCAAAAATCCTGAAGGCAGGCATTTTTCAAATGAGACAACTAAAGTTCAGATGGGTTAAAATGACTTGTCCAAGGTGGATGGAACTGGTTTTAAATTTAAGACATCGAATGTCTAGGTTCACCGCTTTCTTGTCTATACAGTGTAGGACTGCTCAACACTCAATCTTCACTTGGTAAGTCAGAGTCATTGCCCTGGACATCAAGCACAGTGCTTGGCTCCATCAAAGCTGCAAAGTCCTGGAGGCAGCTCAAGTGTAGGTGGCCATGTGCCCTGACAACAAATGCCCAGGATGTGTTGCAATCTGATTCTTCCAAAGAGTCATATTGCCAGGCAGGTATTGACAAGCTCAACAGTATGTAAGAATCTCAGTTTGAGATAAGAGCAAAGCAACCATTCTAAAAATAGCCACCAAAACACAGGCAGAAGATTGCTATGGTCTTCAGAGAAAGGCAGTGGCTCACTTCCTTCCGTACACACATGCCCTTCCAACCACTTCTGTTTCTTGACACGACTAGTAACCAAGGAAGTTCTCTAGCGCTTCTCCTCCGCCTTCCCGACCCAGGCTACTGGTTTGCCTAGAGATCCCAGTAAAATCTCTCCTCCACCATCCTCAATCAGAAAAAATGACTTATTTCTGTGAGATATGGAGAGCTAGTATGGAAGCACAGGCCTCAGCAGAATTATTTGCCCCCTCCCAACCCACCTCTCCTTGTCCTGGTCTAAGTCTATACCCGCCGGCCCCTGCTCTACTCCTACTCTGCCCCACATAAATCCATCTCACTCCAGCCCCATTTTTTTTTTCCAATAGGCAGATCTCACAAAATCATTGCATAACCTGTGATTTCTCTGCTCTCCAACAGTGAAAAACTAAGGCTGGCTGATGTTCTGGGATTCAGCAGTTTTTGGAGAGGCTGGACACTTGGGGTAGCAAACATAACACTGTGAGGTCTGTACCTCTGATTTGTAGGATTTGTAGGCCATAGAGCTTGAGAATCACGAAGGATGAATCCTCACTCCCAGATTTGCAAACACCATCAAAGCTTATAACTTCCCTGATGAAATGCAGTCACATGTAATTCTAGGAGGGTTGTTGTGTCTGACCTCCAACGCCCAACACAAGGCCAGCCTGAGAAGCAGAGGCTGGGGGCCACTGGATGCACTGAATGGCCAGAACTTCTTCTGCCCCAGCCTGTCAGCCTGCGAGGTCCAATTCCAAGCTTCAGTACAACTTTCAGCCAAGTCATGGTCTTTCTGGGGCACTTCTGAACACAGAAGGGTGTGAATGTTAAAGCCGTCACTGCCAAGCATCTGCAGAGCCCCACTCTGGCAAAGCCCAGCCCCGAGAGTCCCCACACAACTGCCGGCATTTGGCCAGAGGAGCAGTTATGAATTCCTCTCTATAGGGGCAAACAGAGTGAATATGGCATCAAAGATGTATTCAGCTGTGAGGAAACAAGGACTGGACTTTCCCAAACTAGAAAGACCTGTTCGCTCAGCTCAGACAGGCTGGAGAACTGCACTGTGCCATGTGGAGGCTGCCGCCACTGGGAGCTGTTGAGCGCTTGAAGCGAAGCTGGTCCAAGCTGAGATGCGCTGCAAGCGTAAAAACTCATACCAGATTTTGAAGACTTAGTATGAAAAAAACAGATGTAGAATATCTCAATTTTTTTGTGTGTTGAGCATATGTTGAAATGATAGTATTCTGCATATATTGGGTTAAACAAAGCATATTACTAAAACTTTTGTCACCTGTTTTTTGTTTTGTTTTTTTTTTTTTACTTTTTTTAACGTGGCTCCTAGAAAACTTAAAATTACGTGTGTGGCTTGCATTTGCGGCTCATATCTATTTCTATTTGACAGTGCTACTTCAGACAAAACCCAACAGCTCCTTTAAGCGTTTGCTTTTAGAGAAAGGATGAACATGCTAAAGCTTTGCTTTGAGGGTCCTTTTACAAATTAGACTCTTTGAGTAGACTCCCGTCAGTGGGCGTTGCACAAGAAGCGCACCT